CCGGTAACCTCGGGCATCCCATGGCTGTCAGGAACCTCATTAGCGACACATTAAATCCAACAGCGGCCCCTCTCTGGGGACACCGAGCTGCGCCGCGCGGCCAGCATCCGCACGGAATCCCCGCGAGTGTCACCGGTGGAAGCCTCGGCCCCGTCGGGGAATATCCCGGCGTTTCCCCGTGCTGGCGGGGGGCTTCCCATGCTACAGGTCTGGTGGCCTTTGGCAGAGGCAAGCCTGGTAGCAGGAGATGTTTTCCAGCTGCACGCCTTGTTCCCCTCCTCCTGGTTAAAGGTTCGTTCTGGTTTTTCTCCCTTGTCTGGCAGGGAAGTTTCATGCTGCCCCAGAGCAGTGTGGACCAGGGAAGGTTCATTGTTTCGGGGATGATTTGCTTTACTGAGCAGTGGAACAGCTGAGAGAGTAGAGGCAAACTGACCAAGTTCACCGGGTATGCGGCAAAGCTTCTCCTGACCCATCCAGGCAACAGGCTGTCAGGATGTGCATTATCTCCTCAGTGCTGCCAGGCTGTGTCCACAGGTGATGCCCATGGGACGTGTCTCTGGCAGAACTGGCTCTTCTCGGGTACAGAAACACTCAGGGACAGCCAGAGAACCCCTTCCCCACAGACCCTGCTGCAGTGCAGCTCTGCCAGTGATGCCAGAGCTGAGCTCACTCCTGCCAGCACCTGAACAAAACTAAAGTCTTGCTCACGGATTCTGGGGAAATTTGGAGCTAAAGAGGCCATGACAGCAGCACCATTAAACGGTCTTTAAAGCCAGACACCTAAAAAGCACAGTGCTTCCAAAAAAATAAACGTATTGAACCAAGCCTGGAGAATCAGCTTGGCTTGTCTGGATTCTGTTGCCCTTTGATCCTCTCCCTATCCTGGCCCAGGGAGCAACCTTTGATCAGGACAAAATTGCATCACACCCCAGCATCTCCACAGCACCAGGCCTGCGTTAGCTGGTCCTGGCAGGCTCGTCCCCTGTGTCACTGTGCTTGGGTGAGCAAAGGAGCACGCCAGGCTGCGAGAACGTGGGGCATCTCCTCATGGGCTGGCAAATTCTCCTCTTGCTCTTCCTGCTGTGCCAAGTGATTGCCACGCCATGAAAACCAGCCTGACCACAAACAGAGCTGTAAATTCATCAGCAATACCCTGCTCAGCCCCCCAGTTTTGTTGCTTTTTTTTTTTAAACAGAGTAATTGTGTTGAGGTCAGAGAGATAATCCTGATTTACACCGTGGTTAATATTTACGCAGGCGACAAAAGCAGCTTGCAGCCCTTCATCTCCAATTTTGGTAAATCGGAGTTAATTGTTCAGCAGGACAGTGGGGTGATGTACTGGTCACACCTTCTGGTTTGTGCTGTGGCCCCTTATCTGCTGCCACAGAGCGAGCTAAGCTAAGCAGACAGTATCAGGACAAGTGTTTGCTTTGCCTCAGTCCCAGGAGCTCTGAATCAGCCTCTGGAACTGGAGCATGTGCTACCTGATGTCCAGATGTGTCCACTGACTCCAGATCCACCAGTTCTTGGCTGCTGTGGGTAAGGGCAGTGAAGGCCTGGCTCTCTGGGGGGTCCAGCACCCCCAGACATGGAGGGGGGCTGCTGAGGTTTAGCACTCAGGTACCTCAGGTGGTCATTCCTCCAGCCCCTGCTCCAAGCCAGGTCAGTGCTGGATTCAGGTAAGCCTATCCAGTGAGCAGGCATTTTCTTCAGCAGTGGCTCAAACGAGGAATGGGCAGAGAGAAGCTCAGTTAAGTTCTAACCCTCTTGTCTGTGGTGAAGGAGAAGCAGAGGAGCCTGAGGTCGAGGCAGGATCAGCGCTGTGGCTACAGCTGTGCAGCTGGTCCACGGGCCAGCAACAGCACAGGGAGTCCCAGAAAAAGCACACAGAGCCCAAGATCCTGGTTTCACTCCAACACCTGCACAGGCTTACCCTGTCCCTGGCACCCACAGAAACTCTCTTGCAGCAAAGGTTGCAACCAAGCGAGCAGCGAAGTCACCTTGACTTTGACAACGGCAAGGGTGGCCCTGGACACTGTGTTTGTCCTTCCCCACTGCCAGTAGGAGCTGAGGGATGGGGATCATGATCTGCACTGATGGAGCAAGAGCAGCAAATAGCTCTGGCAGTGTTTCCTTCGGTTGGTGGGTCACAGAGAGGAGGTTGGGGTGGCAAAGCCCACCTGGGCATTGAGCCCTCCCAGGGACATCAAGGACAGAGCAGGCAGGAGTGCAGCCCCAGTGCTCGCTGTGGGATGTGGATGTGAGAGGAATGGGCTCTGATGGAACTCACACCCTCACAAGGACATACCCTGGCAGCTGCAGAGGGTACACCTGACCCAGGCTCAGCTCATTTCTTTGTGAATTTGTTCTGTCGACTGCCACGGCAGCGCTGTCCTTTGGCTCGGCTCTTCCCCAGGAAGTCGCGGGGTGATGAATCCCCGTGGCACAGTGTCTTTCCCAGCTGCAAAATGCAGCCTTGGCTGCAGACTCAGCCGTGCCTTTGGGCAACAGGTCTGGCTGCCAAGGAATACTGAACAGCTCCTGAAACAGGCAGAGTAAATACCTAGTGCCGAGAGATAAATCCGGAGTCTCACGTTCCTACAGCCTTGTTTTGAAGGACACGAAAACCCTCTCCTGGTGCATCAGGATCATTACCACGGGCTGTTTAGGTGCTGGATCACAACTCACAGGAAGATGGGCATGAGGACGAGCACCCAGAAGCTGCTGGTCCACATTTTTATGGCTTTTTATTTTTTTTTTTTTGTTAGTAAAAATGTCATTAATTATTAATGTCATTAATTATTAATTTTCCCCAGCATTTTTGCACACTTCTTTTGGTTCCACCCAGAAGTATGGTTTGTACCCATAAGCATGGTCTGTACCCACAAAGCCCGCAGCAAACCTGCTGAGGTAGCTACACAGGCCTAGTAAAATAACCCTAGGGAAAAAGGGGATGTTTCACCTGGATCAGGCTGTGGATTCAGCACGTGCAGGGCTCCACAGAGCTGTGCTGCTCCAGCGGGCGGAGGGGAAAGGGAAGGCGAAGCAAGGGATCCCTAAGAGCTGCGTTGGTGCCGGAGGTGATGAGGTGGAGGGAGGGAAGGAGCGAGGTCAGCGCTACTGGCCCGGCGATGGCCTCCGCCCCTCAGGGCCCGGGCAGGACGGATCACGGTCGCCGTGGTGACCGCATGGCCCCGCCCCTCACCCGGAACCGTCCAATCAGCGCCTCCATTTCCTCACGGCGCCGCACGCGAGGCTCCGTCCCAT